CGGAAAACGGCTTTCGTGAATTTTTAGGCGTTTATGGTTCCGTCGCGAGCGCGCAACCATGAACGGGATGACTGCCTAAGTGTCGCCCGCCGCGAACGCGTCGCTCGACAAACGGGAGTTTTTGACGAAACGGCGCCGCCGCGAACGTGTTAAATGCGTGCTGCAGTCCCCGAAAGGACTTTGTCAACGGCTAAAAATCTATCCTCGAAGCCTATTTATTAATTTATTTGTTTACACAAGTCGGTTGCTCATTTCGGAAAATTGTACAAAAGAACTGCCAGAAATGCTTTGGTGCTATGTATTTTGATGGCGCTGCATATTTGCTTGATCATTTCTCATATCCAACATTTTCATTCCTACCTTAGAGGATTGTTAATGAGTTCCGAGTGGCACGAACACTCGTTTTTTCTGGAAGTGAAGCCACGCGCGGAGCTGGCTTCTTTGTTCGTCGATTGCCCACCGGAATATGCGAAAACTAATGGTGAAGAAGGAGATGAAAATGACAAAGAGTAAGTCATTGATTTTCAACTATCGAGTTGCTGCATCCAAAATGCGTGTTTTAAGGAACGAAGGCTTGAACATGGTGAGAGTTACTGAGCATGCTGTTGAACTAGGCACACCGCCTTTTCTTGCGGCTAACTTACATCTTCAACGGAAGTTGCCACGGTTTCGTGCAAATATTTCGAATCTGACATTTTATCCACAATCACTTTGTGCACCTACATGGGCTGACAACCAACGGCTTTTTATGTGTAAACTTCATGTCGAAGCTGATGGAGTTCCATTTGGTGAGTTTTTCTGTCTTCGATAACGGAAATCTTCCGCGAAGATCTTCAAGAAATTTTTCTTTTGAACTGCCTTTGTGTGCTTACCAACTCCACCGAACACATGTAAATGTTATATGGCAGGTTTGGTGTTGACTAGGTGCGCTTGAAGGTGATGTGATGACCTGCCATAAGTGTGAAATTCTCTATACGAACATTATCAATTTTCTGTGGCTCTCCGGCTCCGGTTAGACTTTAGACAAGAGGTGATTGGACTCTGCTAGGGCATTTCCCGCGTTCATTTGATGTGAAAAAGCCCTTCTAATCCAGTCCACAAGCGTGAAGGACGCACTACTTCCGCAGGAAAACGCGACCCGCTCGCGATGAAGCCATGGTTCGCTGGCCGAGGCGATGCCCAACTTTCATTTCCAGAGGCTTCCTGTCGGTGCTGCTCTTCCGCTACTGACTCTCTCCATTTTCAAAAGTGAGAGTGAGGTGGCAAGGAGAAAGAGCTGGCATCAACAAGTGAGTTCTCGTCCGACCATGCCCTTTTCTCGCCTTATGCCCATACAAACAGGGCTCAGCTTGCTTCCTTCCTGCTCTTTTCTTCATTACTGAGTTAATTATGACTCTGTCCTAAGTATTTGTGTAAAGTAACTCACCATTTTCAAACGCGAGGCGTGCTTTTGAAGGTAGTTGGCACGATAATTTGGTACTCTGTCTAAAATGGTAGCAGGGGTGCTAAACAATGGGAAATGGCGAAAAAACGAAGTGAAACGGTCAAAACCTGCGAAAAAGCCTTTGTTCTACATGACTCAGAAAGCTATTTCGGACGAGTTCCCCGTTGGCTCATTGCCAATAACCGCTACGGTATAAGATACGGGTGCATGTATGTGCTTATATGTCAATGCACACCGCAGCCGCTTGGTGTTAATCCCTTCGCCTCATCTTTTAGTTGCAAATTAAGCGATACAAGCATCAGGATCGGTCGGATAATTGTGGACAGGCGGGCTCGCTGGGTGTTCAGGTCGGTATGGTGCAACTTGACAGGACGCTAGAAGGGTACCTTCGCCACACAACGCTTGCTCAGGAGCACCGAACTCCGTCCTGCTAGGCGTATTAGTCGTACACGTCTTGAAGATTCAACACGTTGACGACGATGGCAGACAATGGTGGCTGACAGCCAGTCTGTCTCATGGGAC